TGCCTTTGCATAGTCAATAAAACACAAGTAAACATCTGTGGTAGTTCAGTTGGTGTGTCAATTTGGCTGGGCCTGGTTGAGTGGCTGGGCAGCTGGATGAAGTATTCCCTATGATGAAACTGGTAATCAACTCCATGGTGGAATCTACTGTGAGCAGCTGAGTAGCTACCTAAGTAAGGGAATGTAGTCTGCTTCCTGTATTTAAGTGGAAGCCTTGGGGAATGGTCTTAAGCTTATGGCATTCTTGGACCCTGCATATAGCTGTGTCTTTGTTCAGCAGCCTTCCATGCTCTGCCAACCTGGGGACTTACAATGGACTTGAATTAATGGCCTGCCTTGTGATTTGGTAACATCAGGACTGTGCCTTTTTGTCAACCTTGGGCTTGTCAGCCTCAGCAGCCAATAGCCATCTGAGTGAAGAAAAGCCTCTAGCTTCAGTGGGCCAGGAGCTGGAGGCAGAGCTGAAGCCCAAGGCTGAGGGGCTTTCACCTAGCCCCTAGAGTTTGGCACTTTGAACTTGGACTTAAAGCTTCCAAACTATAAGACAATAAACTCCTGTTTGTTAAGGCCATCCCATCTGTGGTATATTCTTGCCAGAGCGGCACTAGGGAACCAGAACGACATCTTTCTGGTATTCTTTGCTTTCAGCCAAGATCCATCTGACATCAGCTATGATCTCTCTCACTTCACATCCCCTTCTGAATCCAGCTTGCATTTCTGGAAGTTCCCTGTCAATATACTGCTGCAACCATTTTTTAATTATCTTCAGTAAGATTTTACTTGTGTGTGATATCAATGACATTATTTGATAATTACCACATTCTGTGGGATCACCTTTCTTTGGAATGGGTACAAATATGGATCTCTTCTGGGCAGTTGGCTGGATCCAATTGGCCAGGTAGCTGTCTTCCAAATCTCTTGGCATAGCCAAGTGAATGCCTTCAGCGTGGCTTGCGTTTGTTGAAACATCTCAGCGGGTATTTCATCAATTCCTGGAACCTTGTTTTTCACCAATTCCTTTAGTGTAGTTTTGACTTCTTCCTTCAGTACCATTGGTTCTTGATCATATGCCAACTCCTGAAATGGGTGATCATCTACCAATTCTTTCTGGTACAGTGACTTGTGTATTCCATTCGTCTTCTTTTGGTGCTTCCTGCATCATTCAACATATTGCCCATGGAATCTTTCAATATTGCAATTCCGTAGAGACACCACCTCAGAAACCCAACGAGGGGTTGCTGTGAGTCGGAATCGACTCCACAGCAGTGAGTGTGGGTTTTTGTTGTTTTCTTCATTCTTCTTTGCACTGGACAAGGAGAGACCCATCATTGCATCTAGATGGCTGCCTGCAAGCTTTGAAGACCCCAGTTGCTACTCACCAAAGTAGGGTGTAGAAAATGTTTTTGTGTAGTATGTTACACCATTTGAGCTTGATGTCTATGAGGGACTTCTTAAAATGTGAGGGTGACATGAGGTGATTCCAAGGCATTATGCAGGTGACAGTGACTCCAGCATCTGTAAGGAGCTGTGTGAGCATGCCCAGTCCACCACCTCCTCCCAGCTCAAGACGTGGCTGAGGTGGTATCACAGTCTCTCCTTAATGGCAGGAGAGAAGGCCAGTGCTCGCCAAGAGGGAGTGTTGTTTGCTTTGGTTTATGAGGCAACAGCCTTGAGCACAACCCAGGCACCACTGTGTTGTCACACAGGTAGGCTGCGGTAGGCAGAAACACCCAGACCTAGATTCTGGTGTGGGTTCAGCCACAGAGTTGAGAAAGCCACTGAGCCTTGCTGAGCTGTGTGTGACCTCCTTACCTGCTGAACAAGGAGAAAGGTGAAATGAAGTTGGGGCTCATCCAAGCCTTCAACGGAGAAATGGTTTTTACACTTAGAAACCAGAGGAAAACTTACAAAGGACAATTTTGTGTATATAAAGCTGTTAGCATTTGTGGATTAGGGAAAAACACATCTACCAGCAAAAGGGAGCCAAAGGATCGATTTCAGTCATAATCAGAGGAATGCAGAAGCAGCCAACAGTAAAGCCCTGTTTATTTGGGTCAAAGCAATAAGCAAAAGAGCTTTTAAAATACCCAATATGAGCAGAGATGCAACTGGCTCTCTTGACGGTTTCACATGCTAAGTGAACCCAACCCTTCCAGAAAGCCATTTGGTGAACTGTATTGAGTCTTTAGAATATTTGTAACTTTGACCCAGAAATTCAGTTACGAGGAGTGTGTGCTATGCAAATCATGCATAATATGGAGAAAGCTCCTTACAGGAAGATGTTCATGGTGAGGCTTTTATACTGCTGCAAACGGAGTCAACACAATATAGCTGACAGCACGGCACAGTAGATGCAGTATGGGGTACTGGGTAATGTTTCTGATCATGAGACAAACATGGAGAATGCTTAGAATATGATGTTACTTGATAAAGGGTATGAAATCATGTGTCCACAGTAAAGCCAAGCACACTGCCATTGTGTCGATTCTGACTCATAGCGACCTCATAGGACAGAGAAGAACTGCCCCCATAGGGTTTCCAAGGCTGTAATCTTTGCGTAATATTTCTCCCATGGAGCGGCTGGTGGGTTTGAACTGCTGACTTTTTGGTTAGCAGCCAGATGCTTTAACCACTGTGCAGGAGTGCTCCTTAATGTTGTTGTTGTTGTTGTTGTTATGTGCCGTCGAGTCAGCCCTGACTCATAGCGACCCCTCCTTGGGTTTCCGAGGCAGTATCACTACGGAAGTAGGATTGCCCAACCTTCCTTCCGAGGAGTGGCTGGTGGGTTTGAACCGCCAGCCGTCTGGGTAGCAGGCAAGTGTCTTAGCCACTATGCTACCAGAGCTCCTTAATGTACACAATACTATATACATGTATGAGACTTCAAGGGATTACAACAAAATGCAGTGCTGTAGTGGTTGTGTAATACACAGTGGTTGTATTAGGGTCGTAAGAAAAGTGTTTTGTTTTAGCCTTTTTAACCTCTGATTTTGCAAATCATAATGTGATATTACTTTTCTAATGGGGGGAGGGGAAAGCTCTAGTAGCACAGTGGTTAAAACATTGGCCTGCAAACCAGAAGTCTGGTGGTTCAAATTCACTAACTTCTCCATGGGAGAAAAATGAAGTGGCCTACTTCTGTAAAGATTTACAGCCTGGGAAACTCAGTGGGGCATGTCTACTCTTTCCTACAGAATCACTATGAGTCAGAATCGACACAATGGCAGTGGGTTTTGGCAGTGGGTTAGGGAATCTAATGAGGGTAAGGTCCAATATAAAACTGGTATATTTTAATTTTGCCAGACTAAGGACACTCCTCGGAAGGAAGGTTGGGCAATCCTACTTCCGTAGTGAGGAGCTCTGGTAGCATAGTGGCTAAGACACTTGACTGCTAACCAGAAGGCTGGCGGTTCAAACCCACCAGCCACTCCTCGGAAGGAAGGTTGGGCAATCCTACTTCCGTAGTGATACTGCCTCGGAAACCCAAGGAGGGGTCGCTATGAGTCAGGGCTGACTCGACGGCACATAACAACAACAACTTCCGTAGTGATACTGCCTGGGAAACCCAAGGAGGGGGTCGCTATGAGTCGGGGCTGACTCCACGGCACATAACAACAACAACAACAAGGACACTTAGAAATAGCATAGTTAAAGCACTCAGCTGCTGAATGAAAGGTTGGGGGTTTGACTCTACCAGCCACTCCATGGGAGAAGGATGAGGCAGTCTCTTTTCGTAAAGATTTACAGCCTTGGAAATCCTATGGGACAGTTCTACTCTGTCCTGTAGGTCACTATGAGTCAGAATTGACGTGACAGCAGTGGGTTGGGTTGGGTTTTGCTTTAATCTTTATGGGAACAGATCACCAGCTGTTTCTCCTGCAGGGCTGCTAACCAAAAAACCAAACTCGCTGCCGTCAAATTGTCATAGCGACCCCTCCCTTGAGTTTCCGAGGTGGTATCATTACAGAAGTAGATTGCCCAGTCTTCCTTCTGAGGAGTGGCTGGGGGGGTTTGAACCTCCAGCCTTCTGGTTAGTAGTCAGATGCCTTAGGCCCTATGCCACCAGAGCTCCTAGGTAGGGTCAAACTGCCAACCAATGGTTTAGCTGACCGCTTAACTGCTGAGCCCCCAGGATCCTTGGAGAAAGAAGAGTCTCCCAGAAAGTCAAACCATTACCACCTGGGCCACACTTCCTGCAGAAACCATGGGAACATGGGCCCAGTTTCATCTCAGTATCTGGTGGGATGTGAAAGGAGAAGACGGTGAGTAGTCAGAGGAGAGGGGCAGGTGTTCCCTGTTCTCCCATGAGGCAGAGCCCTTAGGAAAGCGAGTCTGTTTCTCCCCAGAGCCACTTGGTTCCCACCCATGAGGTGATTCTCACAGCTGGTATGCATCAGAGTCACCTGTGTGATGGTCGGCAGTCTAGACACTTCCACCAGACTCCAAGTTTCTAATTAGTTCCAGGTCAGCAGTAGGGGCAAGGCCTTTTTCAGAACATACCACAGGTGACTCCCGTGCCTCACAGACTTGAGAACAGACACGTGAAATTCTTGGTGGTGACTGCGTGGGTGGTCTGATGAGTGAGTGGGTGAGGACACAGCTGGGACTTTCTTTCTTTCATGTCATGGAGCACATTTTTGAAGCCAGTCCAACCTGGGGAACTTTCATTCCCAGGCATTCAAGGTGCTCTCTGGGGAATGCCTGTGATGCAGTCCTTTTGTAAACTGAATTACCTCCCAGGGCTCTTGTTTTGTAAACTCCAGAGCCAGAAGGCAGGGCCCACCTCAACCATCACCTGCCCTCTGGAACACTTCCTGGGGCAGTGCTCCCTTCCCTTGTCTTCCTGAAGGTCAGTCCCTTCAGCTCCCCTTGGAAGGTGTGTCTCCTCAGAGGACCTCTGCCCGGGGGCCTCGTCTCCCCACCCGAAGGCAGAGGGGAGTCTTTTAGCCAAGAGCAGTCCAGCTGCATGTGTCACTCATCCTTTTCTCTGGCTATCAAAGGTGCAGATAATTAATAAGAAGCTGGATCTTAGCAACGTCCAGTCCAAGTGTGGCTCAAAGGATAATATCAAACACGTCCCAGGAGGCGGCAGTGTGAGTACCTTCACACTTTGAATGCACCACACGTGGCTTTCTTTTTCAGAAGCAGCATGAGCCTATATACTTGCGAGACACTGCATAGAATAAATCATTCTCGGGCTCAGGACCTGTGTCCCCCACATACACATAGCCCAGGCTCCCCAAATCCTACACGAAGCCCACTGTTCCCAGAATCCCCTTCACCTTGTTCTACCAGGAGAGCTCTTGCCTTTGTGGGTCTCCTGGCCTGCATGGGCCAAATGGGCCCCCAGCTGGGAGTCCTGGTCCTCCAAGCATAATACCCACCATGGACCCCACTCACCGCTGCCTCCAACAGCCCCTGTTTGAGGTTGGCCTGAAGGTGGGAGCATCTGAGACTGGGCTCCATCCTCCCCCCTCCCACAGGCAGGTTCACCCTTGAGTAGTTCCACTGTGAACACTGCCCATCTGTTCTGATAGGTGGGCACAAAGGTCTTACTGCCCCACCTGAAGGCAAACAAAGTCTCTGTTCAGCTCTGTCTTATGCATTTGCAAGGGGTGACCCGACTTCCACGCTTCTTAGCTCACTTTTAAAACCAGCTCCACCTTCCCTTCCTGGTGGCCCTGCCTGAGGAGGTTTGTGGAGAAACTGATTTGGGGCCCATCCTCAGTCCACAGAAGGCCCCTTTTCAATGTGTCCCCAGTGGATGTGTCCTTGTGAGACTAACATGTAAAGTCAATGTTCGGGCCATGAATCCTTACTTCCCAGCCGCCCCGTTGATCCACTCAGATTCCCTGCCCTCCTCTGTTCATGGGCAGTTAGTCTGCAGACCTCATCAGGCTTGACTCTTTTTCCCTCAACTCCCTCATTGCCCAGCCTTCTACGCCAGCAGTAAGCAAACGTTTCAACACACTGGGAGTTGGAGGTTCAAGACCTGAGGCCCTCCAGGGTGGGTAGTTTCTGAGAGCAGAGTCCAGCCCTGGGGGAGCCCTTTCTCAAGCAAACGCCCAGTCTGGGTCCGCAAAGCATCCGGTCCAGCCCAGAAGGTTTATTCCTGCAATGTGCTGCTGCTGCCTCCTGCCCGGACCTCCCGATTCCGATTCCGCACCGAGCGCTCTCCATCCCGGAAGTAGCAAGCGCTTCCCCTTTGCGGCTGCTCGCGCTTTATTACCGCTTCCTCACAGTGTCTGCCGGTGCCGCCTGCGCCCCCACCCCCAAGGTGATGCTCTCCGGGTGGGGGTCCTGTTCCAGCTATGGCTCCTGGGTGTCGGCTCCCCTACGGACGAGGGGCTCAGGCCCGTGAACCAAGGCCGTGTACTTGGGGTGACTCAATGTGGACCGCTGACAAGCCGTGTGCTGGGGAGCCACGCCTCCACAGCCCTGAATCTGCGTCTCCTCAGGCTGAAGCTGGGGGAGTGCGCGTGTGCAGCACAGGCCCTCCCACTAGCCATGGCTGAAGGAGCTGCTAGCAGTGACAGACATCAGGGGACTCCCGGCCTGGGGCTTGCCACAGGGCACCCCATGCTGGTCCCGAGCCTGGCCTGTGGCCACCGCTTGTTTGCAGAAGTCCTCACAGAATGCCCTCTTCCTGGTGCAGCAGCGGGTACACCCTGCAGCCTCAGGCATTTAGCCGGCCCCTGGCCCGGGCTCTGGCCTCTCCCTTGCTCCCATCCCTCCCCTTCCCAGCAGCCTCCACTTCTGAATCCTCATCTTTCTGTTACCTCATCCAGGGTGAAGGGAAAAGAGAACAAAGCTCTGCCTCGCCAGCATTTACATGCAGCTGCCTCATGCTGGGAGGAGTTCCTAGAGCCCCTTGGCCACCTCACAGAGGGGTGTTTAACACAGAGCTTCCACACCCCCAGGGCATGTGCTCACACCCCTCCCAGAGCAGAGTGTGTTTCACACTCTCCGGGCAGGAAGCTCCAGTGAGCTCGGTCTCCCCAGTGTTCATGGTTGACGGGCCTCACTGCCACCTCCTGAGGCCTAGTCAGCCTCGCTACCAGGTGAGCCTTCTTAGTCGGGTGGCTAGATGGCCAAATGGCCAAAGCATCCACTGCAAAGGGGTTCCACAGCTCACAGCCATGTTCTTGCGCGTGCAGGCTGCTGCGACCATGTCCTACACTCGGGCCATGGCCGTCTGTCTGCCCCACTCAGCGCTCTGCCATCGAACAGCAAACGCCAGTATGACTTTAACTTAAAATCATTTGGAATTGTTCCAGATGATTTGGATCTAAGTAGAAATCTGTTTTTTGGTGTCCTTGTTGAACCCATTCTCAGCCACAAGGCCATCTCTTTCCTGAGTAACTCCAAGGCAGGGAGTGGGAATTGCTGGCTTGGGGGTGACTGGCCTCTTGCATCCTCAGGTGACCCCACACAGTCTCTGCTGGAGCCTCAGGGGCTTCAGGAGATGTCAAACAGTGACTGGCCACCTGGGGTCCCTGATAGCCATGGCTTTGTGGAGACTTGCTTCCAGGAGACCCAGCCTTCGCTGTGGGGTGTGGTTATTTGGCTGAGGTCAGTGGGCCAGGCATAGCCCTTGGGAGGGTGGATGGCATGGCAAGGCTGTGTGTGCAGGACCCTGGATCTGGTTCCGAGCCCCGGCGCCCATCAGACCTACTGTGTGTGTCCAAGTCCACGTGAGCTTGCTGAGACACTAACCTGCCCTGGCTCTGCCACGCTGCTTGCCTGTCCTGCTGGTGTCACTTTGCTCCTCTCTGTAAAGAACCCAAACGTCCAGGCCACTTGGTGCGTCCAGGTGTCTGCTGAGTGTCCCCATGCCGCTGGGTTGGCCTGGTCCTGCTCACTGACCCGCATTGCCCTTATTGTGCATTGCCCTTATTGTGGAGCTGTTGTTGTTAGGTACCATCGAGTCAGCTCTGACTCACAGCAACCCTGTGTACAACAGAAGGAGCCTGAGGGCCTGAGTGTTATCTGTCAATAACACTGGAGTAAAAGAAACGAGGTGTAGCTGCACATCTGTTTGAACAAGTCTTGTGAGAAAGGCAAAGACCGCTGAGCCTGAGGGGCTCATTTCCGGCACTGTATCAGACAGTGTTTCACTGCTATTTGTAGAGTTTTCACTGGCCTAGTCTTTGAGAAGTGGGTGGTCCCTTCCTTCTGAGTCTCTCAGTCTGGAAGCTCCATTGAAACCTGTCCACCGTGGGTGACCCTGCTGGCATTTGAAATATCAGTGGTGTAGCCTGCAGCCTCCCAGCAACACGCAAGCCACCCAGTATGTCAAACTGACAGATGAGTGGTGGATCGTAGGGGCTAGGGTTTGTCTTTTGTGGACAGTTATGGCAAAGCCGGCCTGTCAATCCTAACAGCACTCTCTCCTCTTGGAGGCCCGGCAGGTACAGCAGTCTCTACCTTTCTCACTAGACTTGTTCAGGTAGATGATACACATACTGGTCGTTTCTTTTATTCCCGTGTGATCTGTCCATTTCCTGTCGCGAAAGGGAGTCGTTTCTTAGGTTCCAGCGGTGTTTGCTGACCAATGGTGTGGGCCCTGCATGATGACAAAGTGCCCCTCTTTTTCGCTGAGGGTCTTTTGTCCTTTGGGCATTGAAGACACTCCATCTCACAGTTACTTGGTGAAGACCCAGCTCCCTTGGGGCAGAGTTAGCAGAATTCCAGCACATTTTGCACCATAACTCGGGTATAATTCCTTGTGGGAGAAGGGGACCGCCATCTGAGCACAACCTGGGCTTATGTAGCTGCTTTTCATTGAATCACACCCCTAATAAACTAATTCCACTTTATTTTCTTTGTCTGTCTGTCTCCCTGTATCTTAATCTCACTCGCCTCCAGGTGCAAATAGTCTACAAACCAGTCGACCTGAGCAAGGTGACCTCCAAGTGTGGCTCGTTAGGCAACATCCATCATAAACCAGGTAGCCCTTGAAGAAGGGGAGTGTGGGAGGACGGGCGGAAAGGCGCTGGGACAGGGCAGGGCGGTCTGGTGGCACGTTTCTTCCGCGGCTTCTCCTGAAGTGGCTGGGAAGCGTTTGTCTGCTGCCATCAGAGTGCTGAGGGTGGAATTTGCTCCTGAGCAGGACCACGATGGCCAAGACAAGTGAGGAAGGAAGGTAGATGCTGGCCTGCAGCCTGACCCGTGGCTCAGCAAGCGGGCTGTACGCTTGGTCCTCAGTCGGCCCAGGAGCTATTTCCCCAACTGTATCAGCTGCAACCTGGTACCCCTGGGCCGTAGCCATGCCCCCATTGTGACTTTATTGAAACAGAAAATGATGCTATTTGAGCTCCACCTTTCCCATCTTACCCCTCCCACTCCCTAAGCACTCTCTATAGATCTTTTTGCAAAGATGGAAATGTTCCAAATCTCCATTGTCCAATATGGTGGCCACACTAACCCTAGGTGGTGCAAATGGTTAAGCCCTTGACTACTAACCAAAACGTTAGCAGTTTGAACCCACCCTGAGGCTCCTCAGAAGACAGTCTTGGTGATCTGCTTCTGGAAGGGCACACCTTGACGACCCTATGAAGCAGCGCTACTCTGCATATATGGAGTCCTCATGAATGAGGATCCACTTGATGGGAACGAACAATAATCACCATGTGTGGCTACTGAGTACTTGAAATGTGGCTAATGCAACTGAGGAACTGAACTAATTTGATTTAATTAAAATTTAAATAGCCACCTGGGGCTCCTGGCTATACCATATTGGAAGCACAGGTATAGATGCTAACTCCCGCCTGGGAGTCCAGGACAGGGACTTCTGTGTTAGGCCCTGTTCAAGGCAGAAGTCTTGAACCACTACAGTCGCAAGAGATGGCCATCAGAAGCCTAGTCCAGAATGAGTCTAATTATTTCCTGTCTACCTCAGACGTTTTGTGAGAGCTTAGTCTCTCCCACTGGAAACCACCGTACAACTGGTGTCCATCCTACCACGTTCTTTCTTTGGATAGCAGCTTTCTTCAGTGGATTTCTCCTTTCTGAGAAAGTAATATAGGTTGTCTCTTCCTCATGCCATGTCTACCATGCTTGTGTGTGGCATTGAGCACCCAAGGAGGGCAAAGGGGTCATGGCCTTCCCTTCCTTAGTGTGCATTTTGCCATTCAGTTTTATTCCGAGGTCTTCTGGGGCAGTGGTTGACATGATGTTGACATAGAAAGACTTCATTCATTGGAGCCCAGCCAATTCAGAATTAGGATAATTTTCCTAGACTGACTATAATTGACCTTTGCATTATCTAAGAAGGATGAGTTGGCCACGTCAGTATTTGACACACGCCTTGATTACAGAGGTGAAGCAAAAATGGTTTTGAACCCTTCGGGAAACCTAGTTGTTATAGAAACCACATTCTAAATAAGAGAGAGTCATCTACTCATGAGGTCGGTCTCTACTTGGAGACCTTTGCTTGCCCCTGATCAAGTCATGTGCCAGCCTGAGAGCTGTGTTTGCTCTGAGCCCCTCCACTGACTTGTGTTTTTCTGGGCCCCAAGCAGCTCATGGGCCCTTTGCCATGCAGATCTTATTTAGTGCATGCAAAGTCCACTGACTCACAGAAGAAGATGGCAAGATGGTATTGTGTGTGTTGTGTTCTAGGAGGTGGCCAAGTGGAGGTAAAATCTGAGAAGCTGGACTTCAAGGACAGAGTCCAGTCCAAGATCGGTTCTCTGGATAACATCACCCACGTCCCTGGTGGAGGGAATAAAAAGGTAAAGGCAGCAGGGCAGGGAGGGGGCGCTTGGACTTGGTGTAGTCTTTGTTTCCCAGTGGTGCTATCCATCAAAATACTGCAAGTGAGGGGCTTTAAAGAACATAACCTTTCCACAGTTCAGGAGGCTAGAAATCTGAATCAGGACACTGAGCATAGAAGAAGGCTTGGGGGGCAGATCCTGGCCTCAGCTTCTGCAGCCCCAGCATTCTGTGGCTCCTGGGCCATCTTTCTGTGGCATCTGTCTTCCCTGTTTGTACTTCCTTATGCGTCTACTACTTTCAGAAGTACAATCTACTTCTGTAGAGATACTGCCTCAGAAACCCAAGGAAGGGTCGCTATGAGTCAAGTCGACTCAATGGCAGTGAGTTTGGTTTGTTTGTTTGGTAGTCTTTATGGAAGCAGACTGCCACATCTTTGTCCTGTGAGTGGCTGATGGGTTTGAACCACCAACCTTCTGGTTAGCAGCTGAGTGCTTGGCCACTGTGTTGCCAGCGTTCCTTTCCACAGGGATAGGGGTTAGGATTCCAATTCATATTTTGGAGGGACATGAGTCAGCCCATGACAGGTGTTAATCGTCAGATGGACAAAGACTGATCCAGTTTTCCAAAGGGGGAAGAAAAAGGACCTATCTTGAATGAGTTGATGTGATCCTCCGTCCTATCCAGAGCAGGGGCTCACAGCCTCAGCCGCCCACTGCAGTCACCTGGGAGCCTTAACATCTCTGTTGCCTGTGCTCCATCCCTGGAGAGTCCTAGTTAATTGGTTATGGATATAGCCTGGACACCTGGGTTTTTCAGAGTCCCAGATGACTCTTTAGTGTAGCCGGAAGTAAGGGCCACTGTGCTGGGCTGTGCGGCTTGCATGCATCCACAGAAAGAAATAGCCATCTCCAAGGCCAACCAGGTTGGCCCCAGAGCAAGTCATGGGACATCACCAAATTTTTTAAATGGGTCCCTAGAGCAAAACAGTGATGCTGCTGTAGGCGGAGCTCGCAGAACCCATCAGATCTCAGCATTCCTGCAGTTTCTAGTCTCCTGGTTTTGCTGTTGTTATTGGTTTGTTAACCAAAGGTTGGTGATTCAGACCCACCCACTGGCTCCACAGGCGAAAGACCTGGTGACCTGTTTCTGTAAAGATCAAAGTGAAGAACGCCCTGTGGGGCAGTTCTGCTCTCTCACACACGGGGCACCATGCGTTGCAGTCCACTGCAGGCAGCTAGCAACAGCAATCAGCGTGAGCCCGGGAGGGAGGGCCTGGGAGTGTGGCCTGAGCAGCTCCCTCTGGGCCCACACAGGATGTGGTCTCATGACTGCTTTTGCTCTTCTGCACAAATGCGCCGAGGCACCCACGCCGGCCCTGCGGTTCTGGACGTGGCTCACTCTCCAGTCTTCATTGCCTCCCAGCAGCTACTGCCAAGTGGCTCAGGGAGAAGGGACATCCCAGAACAGAGGTACCATCCGAGACCCAACCTGGTGTGAGAAGTGTGCTGCCCAGGGTGACCCAGGGGGTTGGACATGCCAGGAGGATCGGGTTGCTGGCAGCTGGGCCATTTTTCTGCCTGCCACACCACACTGGGCGGCAGCTGGCAGTGCCCCTGCCCTCAGCCTGTCTCCGCACTCCCCTCCTTGTCCTCCTCTGCAGCCCCATGCATCCTTTTGAACAGAGAAAAACACCCCTTCTTGGGTTTGTGGTGAATGTAGGCAGTGTAGTTTTGTGGAGCAGCACTTGCTAAATGGTCTTAAAAGCAGACCTTGCAAACTGAGAACTCAGCCCCTCATGGACCCATGGCTGGGGGAGGGGTGCTGCCCCTTGGAGGACTGGTTCTCCAGCTCCCTGCAATGCCCCTCTGGCTGCCCTGGCCCCAAGGTGGACCTGCAGGGGCCATCCACCACCGTGCTGTGGCATACTGGCTTCCCAGGTGCAGACATTTTCCGGCCTGGGTCTCCATCAAAAGTGAGAAAACAGAAGATGGGCCCGGAGGCTCCAGGCCTCGAGGGAAGTGGGCTTGGGCCAGGGCCCAGTTCCTGGGGAAGTGGGGAATCTTATCCGCAAAGGCGCTGCCTGTTGCCATTAGCTGCCCCTGCCCCGTCTCAGGCAGGGCCTCCCAGCCCTAGGGAGCTTCAGAGATACAGGTGCCTGGGCCCCATTTCCAAGGGGGTGGGGAAAGAAAAAAAAAACAAAAAAAACAGTTGCTGTCAAGTCAATTCTGATTCAGGACAACCCCATGCGTGTCAGAATTGTGGCTAATTTTTCAGAAGTGGATGGCCAGGCCTTTCTTCTTATGGACTTGAACCTCCAACCTTTCAGTTAGCAGCCAAGCATGTTAACTGTTTGCACGACCCAGGGAACTCCCCACCCTGAGAGTCTGATTTAGTGGGTCTGGGTAGGGCAGGTCTTTGGTGTTTCCAATGTCTTTCCTGGGTAAGGAAGGCGTCCCCTTCGGTCTCTGAAAATTCTCGTGCCCGGGGTGGGGGGACAGGGTAAGCTTTGGGCTTGACTCTGCTCAGAGGTGGGCCTGGAATAGATCTGCAAGCACTAGGAGCCCCAGTTCCTCCTTGAGCAAAATGGGTTGGAAATCGCGACATCCCAGAGTAGTTCTAACATTCAAACAAGACCCTGGTCTGGAAGGTACTTGGTATGGTATAGGCTTACAAGAACGTGAGTTATGATTTAGATCCCGGTGCAAGCCCGAACTTCTCAGCTCCCTGAGGTCAGGTGATCCCTCCCTCAGGGGCTTCGTTTCTGACTGGTCTCTGTGATGGCTCCAAGCCACTGTTCTGGCCCCAGATGACCCCCTGTTATTCAGCCCCTCATTTCCTTGCGTGTTGAGCAGAATCACTCGAAGTGGTAGAGTACAGGACCCCTGCCAGCTTCAGTTTGAGGGATTTTGGGACATTCCCAGAAATCTGTCACTTTTTTATTAGGAAACAAAGCTTAAAAAAAAAAATATTAGCCTAAATGTTTTTAATCAAAGCTTATGTCAAAATGTCCACTGATGCTGAGTGAGATAAGTCAGCCACCGGGAACAGATGTCATAGGACCCCACTTACATGAAACATCTGTAACAGGCAAGTGTAGAGAGACCAAAGGAGCCCCAGTGGAGCAATGGTTAAGTGCTCCTCTGCTAACTGAAAGGTTGGAGGTTCAAACCCACTGAGCAGCTCTGTGGGAGAAAGACCTGGAATCTGCTTCTGTAAAGATTACAGCCAAGAAAACCCTATGAGGCGGTTCCGCTCAGTCACATGGGGTCACCATGAGTCAGGACTGACTCGTGGGCACACAACAACAACAACACCACAGACATCAAAGCTTATTAGTGGTTATCACAGGCACACAGGCAGGAGGCAGGAAAGGAAGACTCAATGCTTACAGGACGGTGAGCTGATAGGCGTGATGGTTGAACATGATGGACATAATTAATGTCACTGAACTCCACAGGTGAAGATTGTTGAAATGGCAACTGTTTTGTTACATGTGTGTTTACCATGATTTAAAGAGTGGGGAGCTCTGGTAGCATAGTGGCTAAGGCACTTGACTGCTAACCAGAAGGCTGGCGGTTCAAACCCACCAGCCACTCCTCGGAAGGAAGGTTGGGCAATCCTACTTCCGTAGTGATACTGCCTCGGAAACCCAAGGAGGGGTTGCTATGAGTCAGGGCTGACTCGACGGCACATAACAACAACAACAACAACAAGCTCATATATAACAGCATGAAAGGGTCCTTTTTTCAAAGCAGTGACCCAAAAAAGTGAACAAAATGTACATATGGCCTGGTTTCTCTCTATTCCCTCGTTCAAGCTCTCTGCAACAGGGGCTCTTCGTCTGGGCTCTGTGGACTTCTGAAGTTGTGTGGAAAATGATAAACGTGGCCTTGCACACATATATGCATTTCTCTGGTTTCACCCGCTGCTCCAAGAGGCCTAGGGCCCAAAGAAGGTTGAGGACTGCTGTGCTCATGTTCATTGGAGGAAGACTGTGCCAGCCCCCTTCAGGGGCCATCGGGAGAGAATATGTGTTAGAGCCCTGGTGGCCAGTGGTTAAGCGCTTGGCTGCTACCTGAAAGGTCGGCAGTTTGAACTCGCCAGCCACTCTGCTAGAGAAAGATGTGGCAGTCTGCTTCTATAAAGATTTACAGCCTTGGAAATCCTATTGGGCAGTTCTACTCTGTCCCACAGGTTCCTAGGAGTCAGAACGGCAGTGGATTTGGTTTTAGTTTTATTCACATCTCCAGCCAATGCTTTCTGCTTCTGAGTTTCCTGGATATCCTTCGGAGCTAAGACCTCTGGACTGCGAGGAATGTCGTTTCTGTAATTTAGAGAAACCTTTCTCGTGTCGTGTTTTCTAGCATAGCTACCAATGCTGCCCCCAGTCGCTGTCCCTCCACACTCCTCATCGGTCACCGGCAAAGGGGAGGAATGTGTGTGGCTCGTGGTGGGGAAGCATGGCTCCGAGGGCGTCCCTCAGTCTGCTCCAGCCGCCCCTTCAACTTTCATTTGCGATAGTTATCAATGGACCTGGTACGTCCACTTCTAGGCTATACCATATATGTGTGAAACGATGTGGCTACAAGGTTAGTCATTGCAGCGGTGTCTGCAAGAGCAAAAGACCAGAACCAACCTAAATATCCAACAAGGGAGTAAACTTTGGTCCATCTCCGATGGTATACTATGCAGCCACCAGCGAGAGGGCATCTCTGTGAACTGGTAACCAAAGGTATTAAGTTTAAAAGCCAAGGAGGCGTAGAGCGTATGTAGACAGGTATCCTCTGCTTTTCGAAAACTCGCTTTATGCCACAGCGTTCTTACGAAAGCCCTCCATTAGTACCTGTTCCTGCTAACTGAAAGAAACCCGAAGGGGCTTTCACTTTTCTGAGGAGAAGCAGAACTGGCATTCAGCGTTTGTTTTGCCCCAAGTTGTTGAGGAGACAGCCCACACCCCAGGCTCCTTCCCCAGGGCAGCACTCAGCCTCTCTGCATCAAGCTGTGAACTGTGTCTGTAAACACTGTATGTTAGTGTTATTTTAGGTTTTACATGTTATTGGCTATGACTTCGTAGGTTATTTTTTGGGTCTGAGAATGCTCAAAACATTGTTCCCATATAAATTAACGTTAGTCGCTTCTCCGCTTTACGCCATTTCGCCTTATGAAAGATTCCACTGCAACGCTCTTCTTTCAGTCAGCAGGGAAACCTGTGTGTCATAGGTTTGTATATGCCCATTTTTATAGGTGTGGGACATACCTGAAGGCATGCGCTAACTTGTGGTCACTGTCTCTGGGGAAGGGAGCTGAGTGGCAGGGAGACGGGGAGAGAAGGCCCATGTGTAAGTCGCCATTGTTAGCTGCTCTGCAGTCAATTCTGATTCGTGGTGGCCCCACGGGATAGAGCAGAACAGCCCCATGGGGTTTTCCAGGCTGTCATCTCTATGGAAGCGGATCGCCGGGTCTTTCTCCCGCAGAGCCCATAGTCCACCCATTGTCCCACCATGGCTCCTCGTGTAGGTCATACCTAATGATAACAGCAGCAGCTCCCACCAAAGGCCAAGCCTCAGAGGGCAGCTGGCAGGGCCGCATCCCTAGTAGCCCTGGCCCATCGTTTCACCCTCTCCCTCCTCTTCTCCTGTAGATCGAAACCCACAAGCTGACCTTCCGTGAGAACGCCAAAGCCAAGACAGACCACGGGGCAGAAATTGTGTACAAGTCGCCCGTGGTGTCCGGGGACACATCTCCACGGCACCTTAGCAACGTCTCCTCCACCGGCAGCATCGACATGGTAGACTCGGCCCAGCTCGCTACACTCGCGGAGGAGGTGTCCGCTTCCCTGGCCAAGCAGGGCTTGTGATCAGGCCCCCGGGCGGTCCCTAATCGTGGAGAGAAAGAGAGAGAGAGAGAGAGAGAGAGAGAGAGAGAAAGAGTAATGATTTGGCCCCTCGCCCTCTGCCCTCCCCCAGCTGCTCCTCACAGATCGGTTAATGGGTGACTCACTTGACCTGCTTTTGTCGCTGGGCTTCGGCTCGGACTTCAAAACCAGTGACGGGGAATAAGAGCAAACGTCATCTTTCCAAATTGACGGGTGGGCTGATAATAAAACATCAGAAAAAGACATTGAAAAAGATGGCCACACCCAACATTTCCTTGGGCAATTCCTTTTGATTTTTTTTTTCCTCCTCTCTGCAGAAGAGGGTGAAGGAGAGGCTCTGACAGTTACTTGGGGGGAATTTCAATCCCCTCTGGCTCCATCCCCAGGACTTCTCAGAGGCCACAGCAACAGCACAGGATCGGAAACCTGGGTGTCCGTGGGGCCAAATCAACCCTGTGAGGGGGATGGCGGGGAGTGGGGAGAGAGGCAAGGAGAGGCTGGGGCAGGCTGGGCAGGGGGGAGAGAGGAGAGCGGGGAGAGTGGGAAGGGGTGATGTGAGAGAGAGGAGGGAGTGGGTGGGAGAGACACACCAGGCCTCCCAGGCCACCCTGTGTGGCTCCAGGCCGTGTGCCCCTCTGGTGGGCAGCCCGTGGGGGAAGGGTCCCAGCCCCTCCCTCACTGGAGGGACAGTGGCTGGAGAAGGTTGGCAGTTGGGTGGCTGACCTTATGTCCTGTGAGCAGCTGGCCTCTTCCTCCCTCCTCAGAAGGTGGGGGTTTGTGATTTCCCTCCACTCCATGGGAGCCCCGTTGTTTTTTCTGTGTTCTGAAGAAGGTTGGAACTGCAGCCACGATTTTGGCCACCTCACAGACCTGGGACTTTAGGGCTAACCAGTTCTTTGTAAGGACTTGTGCCTCTTAGCAGACGTCTGTCTGTCCGCACACCTGGGGCTCCAGCACCTCTGGAGCGTGCAAGGGGCCTGGGTGGTGGAGGCTTGAGCCTCCTGTGCTCCCCGTGGCCACTGCAGCCACCTTGGTCTGCTCTGCTGTGCCCCTGTGTCCGCTGGGCAGAGCCCAGTCACTGCCTGTACCCCTCCCTCATCATGTCACCCTGTCCCACGTTCCCAGCTCACTGCCTCCCTTCTCAGTAACAGATGCTGGTAGATGGTGGGAGGCATCTATGCTGAACTAAGTGGTGAAACCAAGGCAAGTCCAGGCACAAGGGTGAGACCTCAGCCTCTCACTATAAGTTCCTCTCATTCAATTGGCATCTCTAACACTGAATCTGATGACCTTATTCCAAGTACTGCCTGCACCTCCCATCACAGGAAACAGAGCACCCCGCAGTATGAACCAGAAGGGGGCTCAGCAATGACCCTGGACGTTTCTGCCCTGCTGACCTGGAGAACCTTCTCCCAGAAGGCCTGGTCTCTTACAAGATCGAGCTGGCAGCAGGTGGCTGGGGTTCTGGTTGCCAGACATGGCATCGGGATGGGCAGGCAAGACCCCTGGGGCTGGACCACACTCCTTTGGTCCCCCACGTCCATGCCAGTCAGCCTCCCAGAGGGCCCAGCCACTGCTCAACCCCCGTATAATCAGCCTTGCACACCCTACAAAAGGAAACACGCCCCGTCAGAAATGGTTGCTGCTCCGAGGCCCTGCTGGAAGCAATGCTGTCCGTCCTGCCGGAGCAGCTGAATATATCCATAGATGTTGCTCTTCCCTGTCCCACCTGCACCCTGTTGCGTCGTAGTTGGATTTTGTCTGTTTATGCTTGGATTCACCAGAGTGACTATGATAGTGAACAGAGAAAAAAGACATATGTATCTTGAAATGCTTGTACAGAGGTTTCTAACCACCCCCACCCCCACCCCGGGACTCAGCTCCGGGGGGCCAGTGTACGCCTTCTGAGGCATCCATTTTCAGAAGGTTTTCCTCAGCATCTGCGACCCCACAGAGACCAGATTCTGACGTTTGAGAAGAACCTTCGGCAGCGAAGGTCTGAAGCACGGGACTAGGACAGAAGCGTGGTGCCGCCTCCAGCCCCTCCCCTGCCTGCCCAGGGCTTCCCCGCACTGGGAGAGCTTGTTTTTCCTGGGAGCTGTGTCCTGTGACTGGCCCTGTTTGGCAGCTTCAAGATGGTCCTCTCTGGTCGTAGCCCTCGTGAGGGTCTTTCAACTCTTTGCATCACGTGAAAAGTGAAAGCAGTGTCAGCTGGGGAGAGGCCAGGAACCTCTAGACAGCCTACCATCAGCCTGGGGTCTCTCACCAAGTTCTCCCTCAGAAAGGATACCAGGCCTCCCCTACCAAAGGCCGCAGGAGGGATTGGAATGGACGGGGCCCAGGGGCTGAGCTGCCTGACGGGAAGGACGCCACGTCAGGAGACACCCTTCCCACAGCCTTGGCCAGAGCACTATCAGCCCACTGACCTTGTGAAGGCCCCATCAGCTGCTCTGGGGAGAAGGGAAGCATCTTTGCAGAACTCAGCTGTTTAAACAGCAGCTTTAGGCCTAGTCCTGCCACTTCCGGTTTGGGTATAGTATAAAGGCAACCCTGGGGGGTTGGGGGGTAGGCGTGCAGGGCTTCTCGTCTAGGGTTGAAGGCTTCATTTTCAGAGAGAGCTTTCCTTGTAAGGAATCATGTGGGCCTGCAACTTCCCACCCTGTGACTCCCCAGGTCCTCCGAGCCCCGGCTGCTCTCCGAAGGGAAGGATTTTGAGGAAGGAAATGTGGTTTAAAGACCTGGTAGCTGTTAGAGACGTGGCCCCCTCACTGCTGCCACTGCTGCCGGCTGGCTGCGTTTCTTTCTACGCCTCTCCTGGCTTCCTGGGCCTTATTCAGTGGGCTCTGGAATCGCCTTTGGGGGGCTAGGAGGAAGGGGATGGGCTATTGGGGTCAGCCTAAAGGTTATGGGTTAGGGTTATCGGGTTAGTGTGGCAGGTAGGTTGTAAAGGGATGCTGGCTTGACCTTAAACGAGGACAATCTCACCGGGGCTGGGTGTCCCCCCTCCCATCTCCCTCACCTTCAGAGTCAGTTGTCCCTTGGATGGGCTAGGATATGGTATACATTGGTTCCTTCGAGCTCTCCATTCATTTTATCAATAGTTCTATTTAAATCGACTTCAGTGGTGAGACTCTGTATCCTGTTTGCGATTGCTTGTTGTGCTTTGGGGGGGTGGGAGGGGGGAAAACCTGTAAGATATTTAACACGGGCAAAGGGAAGTCTTGTAGTGCAGCAGTAAAACCGCCCTGTAACCCTTTTCTTCATACTTCCAACCGCATTTGTTGGAGGGAGAGGCCATGAGGCTAGAGGTCCTTGGGGGTTTTGCTTTGCCACCGACAGGCTTGCCCAGATGCAGCAGGCGACCATGTACTTCCCTAGCCCCTCCCCTGCCAGGTACAGGCCTGTGTAGGATTCTGGAGTTCTCAGTCCTCTGCTTGCTGCCCCCTGGTGGGGGTCCCAAGCCCATACTCCCTCCTCCCAGAAGCCCTGGCGCCCTTTGCTCTAGGCACCTGTGTCACCTTTCCCACCAGCTCCAGATTAGCTGCAGAGACCTCCTTTCACCCTCTTTCTTCTCCAAGTAAAGCCAAGAGGTGGGGATGAAGGCCAGGTGGAGATCATCAGTTTGCCCCACCTGCAATCTGTGGCGTCTTGAGACTTCCGACTTCTCTTCAGCTCGGAAAAGGGTATATACACTGGGCACTGACCCAGAGAGCCTCATCTCCTAGCGGAGTGGACTTGGCCTGTCAATTTGCAGTGTCAGGCAGGACAATTTCTGGCACTTGCAAGTCCCATGACTTCTTTGGGAATTTTGAGGGTGGGGGGAGGGACACGAGATCATCTTAGCTTAGCTTCCTGTCTGTGAATGTCCATATAGTGTATTGTGTGTTTTAACAAATGATTTACACCGACTGTTGCTGTAAAAGTGAATTTGAAAATAAAAGTTATTACTCTGATTAAATAAGGCCTCTGTTCATGGATTCTGGGGCACAAGAACACAGATTGTAAAAAGTCTAGGAAAGGTTTATATATGGAAGGGAATTTTGTTGGTTACCAGGGATGGGAGGGGAGGGGAGGGAACACTGCAAAAATTAAAAAACTAAAATGATACAAGATGGATGATTTGCAAGTCCTTTCCCACCCTTAGAGAGCTTGGTCAGAACAGAAGTGATGAGGATGATGATGTTGAAACCTGGCTGTCAGAAGTGACTAAGCTGACTGCTCTCTCTGGGCCCTGAAGATGAAAGAGTTACCAGACTTGTTCATTTTCAGTTGAGTATCTCACACTGCTCCTGGCAAACCAGCCTTGTGCAAGTCAAAGGTCAACACCCTTGTGGCCAGGATCACAATGCTGCTGCACAGAGACTCTAAGAGAGATGCCAGTGTATTCAAACTTGAGAAGACTGCTCTGGGGGGTGGCATAGGGGTGGGATGTATGAGATCTCTGTCCCAGGAAATCAGCCTAGAACCCTGGGGCTGAAGCAGATCACTAGTCCTGTCAGCTGAAGGAATGGCTTTGATTCCTTCCAGACTTCTGTAGCTGACTTCTTTCCTTTGGAGCCTTATTATACACTGCATAGTGTTTCTGCCAAACGGGGACAGGGATGCCATGTAGTTTCTCCTTAGCAATGCCACAAAGGAGAACAAAAAACAGTGACCCATCACAGTAATTATTGTTCCTTAGACTAAGTCACAGTCATGGTAGTGGATCCTAGATTTTCAGGCAAAATTGTGTGATTTTCTTGGCTTTTCCTGATGTGCTTTGCTATGGTGGGCATATGTTACACAGAGCAAGTCTTAACTGCAGCCATAAAATCACAAGCAGCAACAGTCCAGCTGAAGAGCTCACACAACTTTCCGAGCAATTACAGGCAGCCTCACTGGTGCTACTTCAAACTTGACTGTCATGGGAAGCAAAAGAGAGAATAAAGGCAGGACCAAGCCCACCCACTTCATCAATCATCTTGCACAAAGAAAAACAAGCC